AAAGGTGGTCTGTTGTTTCTATGTTATTTTTACAAAATGTGCAGGTGTTGTCATCCATGTTGAATCTTTTCCTGAGTAAATCCTTAGATGGATAAATATCGTTCATAATTTTGAAGTGTGTTTCTTTTGCTTTTGGAACTATAGGAAAGGCTAAGTACATAGATCTTAGTTTAGTGATTGTGTTTTTGTCAAATTTATTCAAAATATTATTTTTATTTTGTTTGTGTACCTTTGCCTTGATAAAAGGTTGTTTATTTCAAAGGATTCGTTGACATTTGATTTTTTTGTTTGTTTGTTTGTTTTTGTTGTTGTTCCATGTACGATTAACAGCTTGAGGTCATATAAGAAAAACGTCTCAGTGCTGAATTTTTAAAAAGTACTTTCAAAACTCACAGGAGACGTGACAAATTTTATGTAATTATTTATTTGGGGGGAAGGGGGGTGATGGTGTGAATCTGGTGATGTGACTTTTATTTTAAAAAATAAATTCTCAGATGCTCACACTAGTCAGCTCGTTCAGTCCGGTTTCTTCCGCACGCACATTCATGGAGACGTTTCTCCTGAAGCGGAACTTTTGTCGTTTTCCCTGCTTCTCAGCGCAGTGTGACCCCATCCTCACGCTCAACTCGCCCCGACTGCGAGTCCGTGCGTAAAACTGTTGGGGGGTGGGGGTGGGGGTCAGCCTCAGCAGTCAAAGACAAAACTCTTCAGCAGGTGACGGTTGCAGGGGCTGCTTGGCTCGTCTGTGACAGAGTTGGGTCTATGTTCGCCTGTTGTCAAGAGCGCATTCACAGACTGTGGTGCGTAATTACGCACGAATCGAAGGTGAGGTGTAACCCGGATCAGATGAGACAGAACCCGATTTACAAACCTAATTTTTAAATAAAACCTAAATATACACAATGTGATTGTTTACTCAATTTCCTGTCTACTCTTAATTATTTGAACTACTTTTTTATTGTTTTGAACCACCGATTAAGTGTACGGATTCTACTCATCAGAAGCTTTACTTCTGATTTACATTATATTTTATAATGTTAATACATTAGAGACAAGCACACAGAACTTARCTCTTTACAGACTGGGTGGGTGGCTCTTAAAAGAGCCGTTGTGTTTGTTAGTGGAGGAGCAGGTTTACTTGGAGCTCGTGTACTTGGTGACAGCCTTGGTTCCCTCAGACACGGCGTGCTTGGCCAGCTCACCGGGCAGCAGGAGGCGCACGGCGGTCTGGATC